AGAAGAGTGGAGTATGAGTGCACATTTCATCCTTTAAGGGTTTATGCAAAGACTGGTTTCTGTCCCAATGTACAGAGAAGACACATCCTAAGAACAGGTGTGAGTCTAGTAGAATCTCTAACTTAGTGATTGGTGTTATATATATATATATATTTTTGAGTTGGAGTCTCACTCTGTCACCCAGACTGGAGTGCGGTGGCCGCTCCCAGCCACCACAGCCTTGACCTGCTGGGCTCCGGCGATCCTTCCGCCTCAGCCTTCCAAGTAGTCGGAACTACAGGCCTGCGCCACCACCCCGGCTGATTTTTTGACTTATTGTAGAGATGAGGTCTCGCTGCCCAGGTGGGTCTCGAACCTGCGGGCTCAGGCAATCCACTCACCTCAGCCTCCCAAAGGCGCGGGATTACGGGCTGAGCTTGGTGTTATATTAATCTAGACAAAGCAACATCATAAACCTTATGACATATATATCTTTGAATTTCAAATACCTCAATTCAAACAAAGTATGCCAAAGCATAGAAAGAATCAGGATAAATGACTCCATTAAGGGTACAAAAATAATCTGTGGAGCTGCAAATACAAAATTTTGGGAAATTTTCATATGAAATGTAGAAACCCTTGCTTGAACCACCACACTCCTGCCTGGGTGACAGAGAACATGTTGATAAAACGTAACCATAGCCAGGCTCAGTGACTCAGCCTGTAATCCTGTGCCTTTGGGAGGCTGAAGTGAGTGGACTGCCTGAGCCAGTGGGTTCGAGACCCGCCTGGGCAGCAAAACCTCATCTCTACAATAAATAAAAAATTCAGCTGGGCGTGGTAGCGCATGCCTGTAATTCTGGCTACTTGGAAGGCTAAGGCGGAAGGATTGCCAGAACCCAGCAGTTCGAGGCTGTGGTGGCTGGGAGTGGCCACTGCACTCCAGTCTGGGCAACAGAGTGAGACTCCAACTCAAAAAAAAAAAAAGAAAAAAAAAACATAACCATAAAAAGGATTTGGAAAACATCCTTGATATTGATATTGGTCTTAGTAATAATTTTTTTTATGACTACAGGAATAAAAATAAATATAAAACAAGTTGGAGACATCAAACTGAAAATCTTCTGCAGAATAGAGGGAAAAGGAAGAAAGATTACAGGAGAAGAAAAAACATCTGCAAACCATATACTTGATGAGATGTTAAAGAAAGAAAATGGATAATCACTCGAATAAAAAACGGCCAAAAAAGAAAAGTTATTTTCCAATGAGGACATACAAATTGCCAACAGGTATGTGAATTGGCACTGAACATTATCAATAGAGGCAATTTCAAATAAACACAATAATGATATATTGTCTCACAGCTGTTAGAATGGCTAATATCAACCAGAATAGAGACAGAGAGAATTTTTTATAAGGATGTGAAGAAAAAGAAATCGTGTATACTCTTGGTAAGTTTAAAATTGGTAGAGTCATATAAATATTATTATCAACATTCTTTTAAAAATAAAAGCAAACTGCCACATAACAGAGAAATACCTTTTCTGGGTGTATAACCAAAGGAAATAAAATGAATATCAAAAAGAAGTCTCCAACCCCTATGGGCACTGCAGCATTTGTCAAGATGACCAAGCTTGAAAACAATCTAAATATTTGTGGAATCTGTGTTGATTAAGAAAATAACGGAGCTGGGCTCAGTGGCTTAGCCTGTAATCCCGCGCTTTTGGGAGGCTGAGGTGAATGGATTGCCTGAGCCCGCGGGTTTGAGACCCACCTGGGCAGCGAGACCTCATCTCTACAATAAATCAAAAAATCAGCCAGGCGTGGTAGTGCATGCCTGTAATTTTGGCTCCTTGGAAGGCTGAGGTGGAAGGATCGCCGGAGCCCAGCAGGTCGAGCTTGTGGTGGCCAGGAGCGGCCACTGCACTCCAGTCTGGGCGACAGAGTGAGACTCCAACGCAAAAAAATAAAAGAAAAGAACGTGTATGCACGCACACACACACACGTACATACACACACATATATGCACAATAGCATATGATTCAGCCAAAAATATTTTTAAATAATTCTGCAATTTTAACCTTATGAATGACATTGTAAGACATTATGCTTACTGAAGTGAGCCAGGAACATACACAAAGAAATACTGCGTGAGAACAGGTACAGTGGCTCAAGTCTGTAAACCCATCACATTGGGAGACTGAGGTGAGAGGATTGCCTAAGCTCAGGGGTTCAAGACCAGTCTGGGTAAAAGGTGAGACCACCAATTTATGACAAATACAAAAATAAGCTTGGCTTGGCAGCGCACACTTATAGTTCCAGTTACTTGAAAGACTGATATGGAAGGATCACCTGAGCCTAACAATGAGGCTGTCATGTTCATTAGCATGCCACTGCATTCCAACCTGGAGTGAGACTCTAACTCGGGGGGAAAAAAAATCTGCGTGATCTCACTCCTGTGTAATGAAAAAACTTTGCACTCACACAGGAAGAAAGTACAACGTGGTCACCAGAGCCTGAAGGTGGGAAAATGGAGATGTTTTTCAATGGTTACAAAATTTGAGTTATAACTGAGTCTTAAGGAATTAACGTGTACCCTAGTGACTTATCGTTAATAATGACGTTTCGTATGCTGAGAAAATTTGCTAAAATAGAAGACATTACGTGTTCTCCTTACAAAACATAAAAATGGCAATCATGTAAGATGGTTGATATGTTCATTAATATAATTGTAATCATAATTTCACACTATAGGCATATCAAATTATTACATTATTTGCAACATATGTTTATACATTTTTATTTATGTATAAAAAAACCAGATGCTAATCACACATAAACATGCATACAAATGTGTTTGAATATATGCATATATGAAGCTAGTCTTAAGCTTCATACTAAAGAAAATTATAAAATAAGAGTTGTTAAGACACAAGGTAACTTGTAGGGGTTTAATATATATTTACCGATCCTCTATATGATATAGTATACTTAAATATTTGGATATAAAGAAAAAAGAAAACTACCAGTCTCAGATCATACTATAAAAGTAAAATTTAAGTAAAACATCAGGATTTATTCTATTAAGAGAGATAATCATTGGAATTCTCCCTAGTATAGAAAATCATAAATTAGAAAACATGTAACATGTGTCCAGAGAGTTCTTAAAATATCTCAAACAGATAACAAAATCACTGCTTATGTACTTCCAATCATGATACAAAAAGAAAAAATAGTTTGACATGGATTTTCAAATAAATAAGCAAATATTTGCACATCTCCAAAGCATCAGAGAGGTAGTCAGATCATGCAGTTCCTAACAAACCATTAAATGGATTTTGATTTCTTCTCTATACTTGAAAGATCATTGAGAAAGCAGTTTTTGGACAATTTCAGAAGATGGAATAACAGATGACCCTTGTGACAGGAAGAGAAAGAATCCCAGGTTTCTAAGAAACCATTTCCAGCTGGGCTCGGTGGCTTAGCCTGTAATCCCGTGCCTTTGGGAGGCTGAGGTGAGTGGATTGCCTGAGCCCGCGGGTTCGAGACTCGCCTGGGCAGCGAGACCTCATCTCTAAAATAAATAAAAAAATCAGCCAGGCGTGATAGCGCATGCCTGTAATTCCGGCTACTTGGAAGGCTGAGGTGGAAGGATCACTGGAGCCCAGCAGATCGAGGCTGCGGTGGCCAGGAGCGGTCACTGCACTCCAGTCTGGGTGGCAGAGTGAGACTTCAATGCAAAAATAAAAAGAAAAAAAAAAACCCATTTCCATTGGAGCACACCACCTCCTCAAACCATATTTCAAGCTCTGATTCCTCAACCTGTATCATCTGCTTCATTCACTCCCACTTACCTGGAAGTTTGGCTAATGTGCCATGTCTCTTCACATCCCAGGGCTCTTTCTTTTGCTCCAGACACGTAATAAGGTCTGGCTTAGAGACAGCAAGTCCTGTTTAATTAGAAAAAGCTAACATGACTCTTGCTGGGATTCTTAGATTACAAACCTAGTATTTGATCTGTAGAGGACACATTATACAAGATTCTAGATAATTAACCCCAAAATACAGTTTCCCAATAAAACCTTCAGAACATTTAGATAGAATTTTCAATTATGAGTTTCTTTTTATTCTAAGTTGTAATCTCACTCTGTCACCCAGACTGGAGTGCAGTGGAAAGCTCACAGCCACCCCAGTGCTCACCTATTGGGCTCAGGTAATTTTTCTCTCTCAGCCTACCAAGTAACCAGAACTACAGGTATGCGTTACCACTCCCAGATAATTTTTTGATTTAGTGTAGAGATGGGTTCTTGTCAAGTTGCCCAGGTTATTCTTTTTTTTTGAGTTGGAGTCTCACTCTGTTGCGCAGACTGGAGTGCAGTGGCCACTCCTGGCAACCGCAGCCTCAACCTGCTGGGCTCCGGCAATCTTTCCGCCTCAGCCTTCCAAGTAGCCGGAATTACAGACACGCGCTACCACCCGGCTAATTTTTTGATTTATTGTAGAGATGAGGTCTCGCCTGCCCAGGCGGTTCTCAAACCCGTGGGCTCAGGTAATCCACTCACCTCAGCCTCCCAAAGGCATGGGATTACAGGCTGAGCCACCGAGCCTGGCTCAGGCTATTCTTGAACCCATGGGCTCTGGCAGTCCTCTCAACTCAGCCTCCTAAAGTGCTGGCATTTCACAATGCCTGGCCTTAAATTTGTGAGTTCTTAGTTCAGTACTGGTCAGTAAATAAATTATGGCAGCAATTGGAATGAAATGTGGGCAATGATATCTATATCACTAAATGTCTGAACTTACCAATTATATAGCTAGAAGGACACTGGTCAATTTAAAATAGAGAAGGCTTCATGTCAAAATGAAACATCATTAATTTTTTATTTTCAATTTTAACATATTAGCAACTTTTCATTGATAGTAGGAATCTGAAACTCATTCATGCAAAGCAGAAATTCCCAGAAAAAATTCTACAAAGGAAGGACATAAAATCCTTAGTAAAATAGGGATTGTGTTTTGAAAGTTTCCTCACCTAGAAGAACCAGGTTTCTATGGTTCTCTAACATCACAGTCCTGTACAATATTCGCTGAGGGGAGTCTAGGCATGCCCACTCCTCTGGAGAGAATTCTATGGCCACATCCTTGAATGACAACAACCTCTGAAAGCAACAAAACACATATTTACCAAGTCACCATGGCCTGTAGGTAAAGCAAGAGTGAAAAGAACAGGGTCCAGTTGACAAAACAACTGTTATCATGCCATAAAAAAATTCAAAATACAGAAATATCCTCTAATGCATTAAGTGTGGAAAAAAAGGATGAAATAAAATCCACTCAGCCAGTGTAGACTTTCTATTTTTGTGAGTGAAACAGCATAAAATGAACACCAACACAGGCACATACATTTTAAATTACTGTTGAAATCACACAGAATACGTTACATATACTGCTCCTAGTAAGACAGAAGATCCTCATCAAGTTTTAATTTGTACAACAATGAATTGAATATCTTGTTAAAATGCAAATTCTGATTCACAAAACATGGATTTAGCCTGAGGTTCTGTGCTTTTTTGTTCAGTTCGTGTGTCTCATTCTTTTTTTTCTTTTGGATTTGGAGTCTCATTCTGTCACCCAGACTGGAGTGCAGTGGCCCCTCAGGGACACCACAGCTTCGACCCACTGGGCTCCAGCAATCCTTCCGCCTCAGTCTACCAAGTAGCTGGAACTACGGGTGTGCACTACTACGCTCGGCTAGGTGTTTCTCATTCTGAACCAGGCTAGGGTGTCATGGAATAATCACAGTCTCAATCTCCTTGGCTAAAAGAATCCATCCTCCATAGCATCCCAAGTATTTGGGACAAATTGGTACCATATGTCAAGGCACACAGGTAGAACACAACATTCATGCTGAGATCTTTTAGCCAAAAGTTATAGTAATTTATTATTACTTTTTTGAGCTGGCATCTCACTCTTCTTGCCCAGGCTGAGTGCAGTGGTATGCTCATGGCCACTGCAGCCTCGACCTGCTGGATTTAGGCAATTCTTCTACCTCAGCCTTCCAACTATCTAAAACTACACACACATGCAATCATGCCTGGGTAGTTTTTGTAATTTACTGTACAGACAAGGTCTCACCAAATGCCCACCTGTTCTCAAAACACAGGCTCAGGGAAGTCTGTTGTCTCAGCCTCCCAAAGTGCTGGAATTATACTCTAAATCACCACACCCATCCAATATAGTAATTTATAATCTCAATTTAATAACAAGCAAGTTCATGTTACACAGAAATCAGCCTACAGGTAACTCCCATGACATGTAATCTCTGAAAGCGCATTTATATTTTTGTTTTTTGGCATCCTAGAGAGCAAGTCTCTTCTAATTATCCTTTATTCAGACTTTCCAGAGTTATTTTGGGCAGTAACTGCCATCCTGTTTAAATGTACATTTTATTAACCGTGTTCTGCATGGAGCTGATGGAGCATCTAGATAGAACCTTAACAGTACATGTTCTGGGTAGGAACAGAGGCCCATGCCTATAAACCCAGCACGTTGGAAGGCCGTGGCAAAAGAATTTCTTGAACCCTTGGGTGTGAGACCAACCTGGGCAACTTGGCAAGACCTCATCTCTACAATAAATTAAAAAATTAACTGGGTTGGTGGCCATGAGTGTGCCAGTGTATTTCATTCTGGACAACAGAGGAAGACTACAATTAAATATATATATACACGTTTCTATCCTTCATTAGGATCTGAGGATCTATCCAATTTCCAATGGGATTCTTGGTTACCAAGCCTTCCCATGACCCCCAGGACAAGGAACCATTTTAATAATGCAGGTCACACGTTTATGGTGAGAATAGTTTATGACAACTAAACAGTATAGTTGAAGAGAACAGAAGAGGCTATGTAGAAGTAGTGTCTGACAGACCCATTGAATAACACAGGAAGAACAAAATTAGTTGAAACAAACTCATTAGGTAGGACCATCACAAGGACAGAAGCATGATTTGCAGGTTTTACACACATGACATTCCTTCTGATCTGGGATGCATTTATTTACCTGAGAAGTAGCCATTTTTTGTGTTTTTCTTCCTACTTCTCTAGGATTTCTTCTCAGGTCAGATTATTAAATCAGGTTACACCTACATTTTGAAAATATGTCTTTACTTATTTCAAAATTAAATGGAATGTATTTATTTTTTGTCAGTCTTACCACCCTCTTGGGAGCCCCTAGTTTGCTCTCCAGTTTGCCTGAGGTCCTCTTTGATTTGATACTTCCACCATCTCCCTGAGGTGGGTCTACTTTGTCATTAGGATAGTTTTTCTTCTTTAAAAATGCAAGATAATCCAGAGGACAGACATCAATTTTGCCTCTGCCCTTCAAGAACAGTGATGTGTCTACAAGTGCACAGAAACCAGTCGCCAAACTAAAATAAAACTTTTGTTACTAATTTAATAATATAAAACCTAGTCATAATCAATCCAAAATGGGACAGTCAACTCTCAAAAGTTCGACATAACTCCATTTTAGACCGAGGGGGAGTCTCTGGTCTCTTTATGTGTTTCCATGTAGCTAAAATAATTTTGAAATGCTGACAAATTTGGCACCAGTATGCAGCTGTCCAGACCACCTCTGGGAAAGTGGAAGTATGTGCATTAACTCTGTTTTGTTTAATAAAGGAAAAAGGAGACTGTGAATCAAGGACAAAGATAATTCACCACTTTCCAGGACTCCTCTCATCTCCCAGATGCCTGCAATTCTAAGCCACCTCTTGATCTTAGCCACTCTCTGTCCCACAGCCTGGATAAAAATTTTGAAAAAGTACACATTACCCCGGAGGGGTCTTTAGGATGCCATCCCCTCAATTCTTTGGTTCTAGTGTCCCTACTAAATTAAGTCACAACCCCTGCTCCAACTCCTTATGTCGACAGAAGTGGATTAGGACCTGATGACACAAATGTCCAATGACACTAATGACATACCCTGGAGATTTTCACCTAGATAATTCAGATAAGGCCACTGTAGGACTGTCACCCAACAGCACTTGCCCATCCCAGCTTCCCCTTGCCCCTTCTCAAAGCCCTTCCTCCCAGGCCCTCCGGGATCCCCACATCACGAGTCCTGGCTGGTGTTTCTGCACTCAAGAACCGCTGTTGGCCAAGTGATTTGGACCTGGTGACAAACTGCCAATGACCCTTGAAAGTTCAGGAGAGTGGGAAGTCACTTTTCATCTTGTTCTGAAACTCTGACACAATGATGAGAAAGTAGAAGCTATGCTTTTGGCAAAATACACATTTTAGGTAAAATTAACTTTACCGACTTTGTCTTTTCAGAAACAGACTTCCTGGTATCTGAAGTATCTCATAGTGGCAATCAAGCTTCCTAGAGTAAAGGGAATTTACAAGACCTAAGACATCATGCATTGGGCAAGGACTGTAAAATCATGAAACTTGTAATTACAAACGTTATAGCCACTCAGAGGGAAAGCAGGTGGGGATTCGATCTTCCAGTAAATTGGGCACTATCTACAGGGAAGCCAAGGATCCCCCGCAGCTAATAACTAGGATTCCCTAGGAGATAAGGGGAGGTGCATCCTCCACTAGCTCTAAGGAATGTCGCTTGGGAAGGTGCAGGAGAATTAGAATCCTTGCTGCGCCCTTCTCTAGGAGCTATGATAATATGGACAGACATTAATGAGTCTGTGTCACAGGATCTCCAAGACATCCACAGGTAGTCCACAAGGAAGTCACAGCAGTCACGTGCAATATCACCAAGAAAAGGATATAAGCCAGGACTCTGGGTGGTCAACTTTTCTTAAATAAATATTTTCTTCTCTCTTCTCTATGTGTTGCAATTCTTTGCAATTTACTCGGATCTCTGGGTTCCCAGTGCGCACCTCCGGCTTCCCAGCCCCAGGGTGCTGCGCCCCTTGGTCCATTCATTTTCCCTCACCCTGTCCTGTATCCTAGCAACCCTGATGACTTGGTCTAGGGATATCGACCTGAATATTCCAGATCAGGTGACTGTGGGTCTGTCCCCCACCGGCACCTGACCGTGGCCGACTTCACCCTGCCTCTTCCACAAGCCTTTACGCCCAAGCCCTCGGGAGACCAGACTACAAGCCCTGACTGGGACTTAGGGATTCTCGATCCGCTGTTAGCCCAAGGGAACCCCTAACACTGTGATGGAGCATCCGTTTACCTTCTAGGAGGAGAGATAAATGAGGCCAGGAACACAACACCTTCCCCCAGGGGTCCCCACGCGGGTCAGACCTCCCACGACACTCCTGGGTTTCACACATACATACTGGAGAATCTTCCAGTAGAGCGAGGTCGCCATGGGAACAGGATGCTGGGGACCGAACCAGACCACCCTGTGAAGAGGGGACCGGAGCCGAGCCAGCGGCGGGCACAGGGCCAGATCAGAAGTAAGGGGGACGCCGGTCGGCCACAGCCGGGTCATCCGTGTCCCTGCCTCTCGCTCTCGCACCCACACCCATACTCACCATCTCCCGGCTTCTGGGTGTCCCAGAGTCTTTCTTACTGACTCCCCGGACCTGCATTTCACAGGGCGAAAAGGGAAGAAGCAAATACACACGGCTCTCTCCGAGATGATTCGGTACTTCGCAGGCCCAGAAAACAAAGCCCGCATCATAACCCGGAAGCAATCGCCTCAATTTAATCTCCTTTCTGATTGGGCAGCTTCCGAACTAGCATCCACTGATTGGATAAGGCAACAGGTCACCACCCTTCTGATCTTGAATGACAGCAGATGTGATGCAACGGGGCTGGGGGAGGCAAGAAAAAAGAAAAGCATGTTTTTTCTTGTAGCATTTTGAGGTTCAGTTGCCTCCCTACACCGGAAGTTGGGGGGCGGAGCAGGATGTAGGGTGCATCGCAGAGCATACTGGGAACTGTAGTACAAGAATGAGGCCTGGTGGCTTGATCGCTGGGCTGCAGGACTCCGTGCCAGTCTAAAGAGGCAGCAAAGCCCTTCAATGTACCCTGTGAGTAGTTTCAAGGGGAGCCACATATATATATATTTTTTGAGTTGGAGTCTCACTCTGTCGCCCAGACTGGAGTGCAGTGGCCGCTCCCGGCCACCGCAGCCTCGACCTGCTGGACTCCGGCGATCCTTCTGCCTCAGTCTTCCAAGTAGCTGGAATTACAGGCATGCGCTACCACGCCCAGCTGATTTTTTGATTTATTGTAGAGACGAGGTCTCGCTGCCCACGCGGGTCTCGAACCCGCGAGCTCAGACAATCCACTCACTTCAGCCTCCCAAAGGCGCGGGATTACAGGCTGAGCCACCGAGCCCAGCTGGAGCCACGTTTTTTGATCTGCTGGGGAAATCTACATCCGCCAGTGACATGTTGGACAAACTGGCCAGTGCCACTCCCACGTACCAAAGAAACAAGCCCCCTGAAAGAAGAGTAAAAAGTAAAAAGGAATAAATAGATGAATAAATAAATGAATAATAAGAAAAAAAGAAATAAGCTCACCCATGCCCCTGAATAAAAGGAGAGAGTTTGGTAAATCCTTCAGGTCCTCTCCAACTGTGGGAGGTTTTCTGTCTTCAATAATCCTGCTTTTAAAAAAAAGAGGGAGAGTGTAAGACAAAAGAGAATACAAAAATGCGAGAAGTCCACAATCTCTGAGGTTCTCCTTGCATATCAGAATATTAAAGACTCTAGGCCTGGCTTGGTGTAGTCCCAGCACTTTTGGAAGCTGAGGGGTGGACTGCCCGAGCTGGGGGTTGCAAAACCAACCAGGGCAACTGGGCAAGACCTCGTCTCTACAATAAATCAAAAAAATTAGCCAAGTGTAGTAGTGCATGATTGTAGTTTTGGCTACTTGGAAGGCTGTGGCTAAAGGACCACCTGAGACCAGGAGGTTGAGGCTGCAGTGGCCAGCAGTGTGCCACTGTACTCTAGCTTCTGGGACAGAGTGAGACTCCAACTCAAAAAAAAAAAATTAAACACTCATGTTATGCACTCAATGACCCTGGAGGACATGAGATTCTAAAACAGGCTCCCAAAGACATATTTTCTAGAACCCCCAAAGGACAATGTTTGTGATCTGGTGATGCCATTACTCAGCCACGTCTAACAAATTATCTTTATCCATTAGGAGAAATCTGGATGTTCACCATTTTAAGAACTCATCTCTATGAGTTGAAGAGAACTGGACATTCTCTGTTGTACAATGACAGCACTATGCTTGTCCCAGAGCAGGCTGCTGAAGGGGTTGCTGAGAATTCATTTGATAGAAGGATTTCTTTTTCTCCTGAAAGCAAAATTAGATAAGAAAAGGAACTGGGTAATTTTCAGTACCTGCAGATTCCACAAAAAATGGAGAATCCTGCCAGAACCCGTGGGTTGGAGACCAGCCCAGGCAACTTGGCGAGACATCACCTCTACAAGAAAAATTTAAAACAATATCCAGGCATTGTAGCACTTATCTGTAGTTCTGGCTACTTGGAAGGCTGAAGCAGAAGGATCACTGGAGCCCAGCAGGTTGATGTTGGGATGGTCCTGAGCTGCACTCTAGTCGTGGCAACTGAATGACACTCTAACTAAAAAAAAAAAGAGAGAGAGAATCCCAAGCAGCCAGATGAAAAAAGGAGACAGACTACAGACTGTAGGATCCAGATAAGGCCTATTCCTGCACAGGCAGGAGCTATTCCACTTTATGCAGCTCTGATTCCCACCTTGGAGAATCCTTGCACAAAATGAGGCCACATTTCCTATTTCTTGCCTTGAAAGTAACCCACCTGGAAGGCTGAGGTGGAAGGATCACCGGATCCCAGCAGGTGGAGGCTGCGGTGGCTGGGAGTGGCCACTGCACTCCAGTCTGGGCGACAGAGCGAGACTCCAACTCAAAAAAAAAAAAAGAGAGAGAGAAAAGAAAGGAACCCACCAAGTATGGCAGACCTAGGGACGTGGCCTCCTGGGACATCACTTGCTCAATTTTCATCATTCCTATAATCTAGAGAAAGTATTGTACCTTGTTGGGAGCCGGCCATGGAGGCCCACTGAGTGTTAGGGGTCAGGAAGGGCCGTTGACCCCGAGACCACTAGGATGCATTCGGGAGCTGTGGACCCCATTCACTCCCCCTTTCTACTTACCACCATAACCAGAAAAAGCTCCTGTAAGCTCAAACATAAAAACTCTGAAACTGGGACAAACACAAGCTAACTTTAGAAGCTCATTGTTTCCATTCTTCCACAAAATGTGGTTTTGGCTTTCACATAACTTACAGTTCAAACTGACCTGAGTTTGAGCCTTAGTACTGGTCACAGGCTTCTGGGTCATGATTTTAGGATTTATTGAAGTTGAGTAAGGTATAAATTGCAGAATATAGTTTTAGAAATATAAGTTTAGACAGCCATTTTGTTGAAAGAATGCAGCTAGGTTACTTACAGGTAGTCCACTGTGAACTTTGGACTGGGCCACATTCCAAACATTCTGGGATGGGCTGCTTTAGGTTGTAAAGTAAGTATTTAAGCATATATAGAATCGTTTAACTCAATATTAGTATAAATTAGCATAGGATGAAAAAGGTTTATAGGATATGTCAGTCACGGATCAAGGTTAGCATTTGTTATGGGATTTTTAGGTTATCATTTAACTTGGTATTAGTATAAATTAGCATAGGATGAAAAGGGTTTATAGGATAGGTCAGTCATGGATTAAGGTTATTTGTTTGTTATGGGATTTTCTTCCTCATACTTAAAAGAATATCTGGTGGGTGGGGGACACTCCTTACAGACCTGGTTTTGTGTTCTCATGAAAGACATGTGAGTATAAAAGCCCACTGTGAACACTCAATAAAGTCTTCTGCTCAAATCCGAACAGTTGTCCATCTCTCTCTCTCCCTCTCTCTCTCTCTCTCTCTCTCTCTCTCTCTCTCTCTCTCTCTCTTTCTATTTCTCACAATCGCTGATGCCGTCTCCACCTTCGGGAACCCCTGGACTCTGATGTAGCTAGACTCCGGCAGTACCTTGATATCATACCCCAGTGCCATCTGCTTGGCCTCAGACTTCTGCTTCATTGCTGGTCAAGTAATGGCCACTCAGGATATGGAAATTCAGCCATCATTGCCTCCTTGAGTGAATAAGGTTGATGGCTGGTCTTTGGGTTTCTGACCACCCTAGTCAAGGTGACTGATTGCTTTTCAAGCCTGGTGACATTACTGGTCTGGCCTCGCGAGACAGGAGCGGGCCTCAGGAACCCACAAACTATGCCTAGGGTTCTTACCCTGCCTTGGGCAAAATCGGAGTTTTGTTCAGGGCCACATGTTCACTGTATGATCATCCTAGATATCCCGAGTACAAATGTTCTCCCAGAGGCCAGATGAGGCTAGGTTAGGCCCCTGGTGTAAGACTTGTACTCTTTAAGGAAGGCACTGTCACAGGGGTTGGCCAGCATGAGGAACAAGACATGCTGCTGACTGGCTGAGGTTTTGACAATGCCATACTCACCCTCCCGTCCCAAGACCCATTGTCCAGCTTTCTTGTTGACACTGATTTCATAGGGTTGAGGAGTTATGTGGAGCTTTGGGGCACCTTGCTGGTTTCTGCCCTGACATTTTGGGGGCCATGTGGGTTACTTTCTCATAAGAATGTTAATATGTAGGTGTCACCATAAGGGAGCAGGATATCTCAGCATTTACTGTGGACTGGGCAGGCCCTGGTGTTGGAGGCTCAGTGGGATAGCAAGGTGAGGTTGTCCTGTGTTCTTAATCTCACAGGAAACCTAGGAAAAGACAGGAGCCCAGCATCCTTGTTCAAAGCTGTGTAATGAAAACCATTGACTCCTGATCTCCAGATGCATGGGAAGCTTCAGGACCAAACTTCAAGCAAGAAATCATCAAACAGCCATGGTCTGTTCTGAGACAGGGGTATACTCGCCACACCTGAGCCTCCAGGCCCCTGGAAAGCAACCTGCTTTCCTGCAATCAATGGAAGGTCCTACCTGCAGTTCTGCCTCAGTTTGGGAATCAGTTCATTCAGGTGACATTGGGCGAGGATGGCTACTAATTGAGGGGTGCTGCCACATTTTTTTTTTAGTTGGAATCTCACTCTGTCATCCAGGTTGTAGTGCAGTAGAATTCATGCCAACCACAGTGTGTCAACCTGTTTGAGTAGGTGATGCTTCTACCTCAGTCTTCCAGGTAGTTGGAACTACAGGCACATGCCACCATGACAGTTTCTTTCTTTCTTTTTTCTTTCTTTCTTTATTTCTTTCTTTCTTTCTTTCTTTCTTTCTTTCTTTCTTTCTTTCCTTCCTTCCTTTCTCTTTCTTTCTTTCCTTCCTTTCTCTTTCTCTCCTTCCTTTCTCTCTCTTTCCTTCCTTCCTTCCTTCCTTCCTTCCTTCCTTCCTTCCTTCCTTCCTTCCTTTCTTCTTTCCTCCCTCCTTCCTTTATTTCTCTTTCTCTCTCTCTCTCTCTGCAGGCTCAAGCAATCCACTCACCTCTGCCTCCCAAAGTGCTGGGATTACAGGTTGAGCCACCGAGCCCGACCGAATTTTTTGATTTATTGAGAGATGAGATCCCACCAAGTTGCACAGCCTCATCTCAAACCTGTGTACTCAGGCAATCCTCTCACCTC